GAAAAACCCGTGAAGCCTTCCTCATAAAAACATTGAAAGCCATGAAAACCATATAATCATAAAATGTTTCCAATTGCTATTGGAAAATTCTTGACATAATATCCTTTTTTTCATGACTTTAAATGATTTTAATAAACTTGACGAGCATATGCATTTTATTGGAAATGCATAACCATTATAATTTTATGAAATGCATGCTATGAGCAAGATGCATTTATGTCATGATAATGCATATTTTAACATTATAATTGCATCATAAACATTACCTTACCAAATCATTCCAGTCCAAATCAAGTCATGAAATCATTAACATAAACATTCCATGACCACATAAAGAAAACATTGCACCATACAATTAATACACTTACATAATCATCAAACCACAACTTCCACACTCAGTAAACATGTCACACCCATCAATTGGCACCAAAAGAACCAAATTACAATTATATTACACAAACCCTAAAATCATCTATATAGGCCGAATATCATCCTTAAGCTAAACCAAAGTTTTTATTTGAATTTCAACACCAATTTCTCATACTATTTCATTTAATTACATTATCATATCAATAACTTAATTAATTAAGCAATTATTAGTTGAATACGTGTCTAAACCCGTAATGGGTCGAAACCCTAATTACGATAACCTAAACTAAGTTTTCAATTTTAATGCCATTTCTCTTCTTAATTCATCCCATTACATTACTTTAACTTCAAATTCATCAATTAAATCATTAACAATTCAAAAACACTTAAACCTTAATTTTCTTCTCAATTGGGCTGAATTTTGACCTAAGTTAAATTAGGTAAAATTCTTCAATTTTTATGAAATTTCTTACTCTCAATCATCAATTCATGTTTAATCAACTCCTAATTAATAAATAATTCATCAAGTAAGCTAATGAATCAAAACTCTAAAACCATAAGTTTTGGGCCGAATGGGATCCTAAGAAATTCAATGAAAATTCTTCATTTTTAATGCAATTTTTCTCATTCAATCATCAATTCATACCTAATTAACATATAATCAAGTGATAAATCATCAAACCAGGCTAAGCATCAAAAACCCTAAAATTCAACAATTGGGCCAAATAGGTTATCTTCCTAACCCTAATTTTTTTTTATTTTTAATCATCAAATTCAAACTCAATTGATATAATTAGACTTTAATTGCATGAATTACTACTAGCTTAAGTTCATTTTCCTTAATTTTTTCTCATCAAGAACCCTAATCCTAATTTTCAAAATTAAAGCTAATAAAAATAAATTAAAGCATCCAAAACATCAATTAACATCAATTAAAAACTCCTTTTTGTGTAGGTGAGGTTAAATTACATAAACAAGCTCCAATTTATTGTTGAAAGATGAAATTTCTTTCCTCCTTTTTCTCTATTAAATTCAACCTAACTTCAATATTTTTCCCTTTGATGATCCTTGCCCCTTTAGCTTGAATTACTTGTTTAACTAAGTGATTTGGAGTGTTTAAAGGTGATTTTGTTGACATTTTGGGGTAGAATTCCTATGGAAATTTTGCAAGTATTTCCCTTAAATTTTCCAATTTTTTAACATTTTTCCATGATTCCTACCACCCATATTTATGGGCAAATTTGATGGAATTTTTCCTTTGGTTGACTCTATCACGAGTCCTTCATTTGATTTTAATCTTAGCCCTTAATTTTTTTTTTAATCTTAGCCTTTCAATTGATTTCATCCTAACCATCCATTTAGTCTTTAAATTTTGTCCCTTCATTTAACCATTCTCTTTAAATCCAATCCTTCCATTTGTGCATGCATTAATTACACCCAAGTTATTGAGCTGATATGGGTAGTAAAAGGGGAATAATCTCTCCCAAAAAGTGCTTAATTTTGGTCCTTAAAGTTACTAATCTTTTCTCTAATTACTCCTTCATAAGTCCTTCAATTATTCAATTGATTAATTTGTGCCCTTCCTTAAAAGGACCTAATAAATTTTTAACTCCTAAAGTTCTTATCTAATTTAATTTAAAAGTTCAAACTTTTAATTTTATGCAATTAGGTCCCTAACTCTAAAATTTTATTCCATACCTTTCCAAACTTCAACTTATTTTCATAATAAATTCAAACACTTCTTAAAAGAATTTAATCATCATTCACATAATTTTTATACACTTAATTAGGCCTCTAAATTAATTATTTTGTGTAAAAATACACTATTTCATGTAGAAAATATTCCCTATGCATAGAAAAATTTATCTAAGTTTATAAAATATTCCTACACACCCTAAATGATTTTTCTATTGCCATTCAATAATTTTCTTATACCTTTAAAGCACTTAAATTAATTAATTTACCTCAAAAAACTATTCATGCACAAGCAAACTTCTTATAAAATAATCACAGAGCATAAGAAAATTCACCCGATGGCATTGAATAATCTAACACCCCTCCAGCAAATATTCTATACAAACAAAATATTTTTCATGTATATTCATTATGCTTAAAATAATTAATTTGCATAAAAAGTCACTATTTATGCATCAAAAATCAACAAAATATTCTTTGAGCATAAAAAATTATTTTAACACCTCCGAATATTCTATTACCCTTTAAAAATCATGCCATGCTCGCTAAATATTTTTCATATGCTTTTAATATTTTTAAAGTTATTAAATATCGGTTTTAGTGGGTACTGGGTATTATAAAATCATTCGTCTTTCTTCCTTCACCAAGTTTCGGCCCAATCCTTCTTTTTTCTTTTATCCTTCTCTTGTTTGCTCTACTAATCTGGTTCTAGAGTGATTTTAAGATGTTTGGAGGGTGGATAAGGAGGTTTGGAGTGTTGGTTTGGTGAATTTTCTCTTGATTTCACTTGATCTCACCTTGATGTAACCTTGAATTTTCCTAGTTTTTACCTCTCTTCTATCTTTTTCTCCCACATTTATAGCCAAGGTTTCTCCTTAAGATTAAGCCAAGTGTATCACACTTGGTTTGATCTTAAATCATGGCAATTAATGACTTCTCCATATTTTTCTTCTTCCTTCTCTTTTCTTCTTTTTTCCTTGATTTTTCTTTAGATATTTTTCTTTTCTTTCTTCCTCCTTAAATTGATTTAGGCAAATATTTTTCTCCTTAATTTTCAGCCTAGAAGTTGTGGAATAACTCTCTCAAAGCCATTTAATTTATCCCCCAAAACACTAGCACTTTACAATTTAGTCCCTAAAATTTTAATTCTTACGCTATGCCCCTCCAATTTTGGTTCGTAACTTCACAACTTCCCTCAATCTAGCCTTTATCCTAAGCCTTTTTTCAAGAGTAATTAAAGTCGCTAAAGTTGCTTAATCATTTCAATCAAGTACTCAAACTTTTAATTGTTTCAATTACACCCCTATGTTTTGCAATTACGTCTCTAGACCAAAATATAACCATATCAATTACTTATATATAATTCACCCTTTATTCGTTCCATAACATTTTTATTATAATCATAAATGTATTTAATTTATTCTTAATAAAAGTATAAACTTTCATTTTTTTTTACTTTATTTAATTATTCCTAACAACATTTTCATATTTAAGGAGGCTTTTGGGTTGAGGGTATTACAATCTGAGCCTCTAAGGAGGAGGGAGAGGTAGGCCAGTTGGTTGAGTGAAATTCGATGTGATGGAGCCTAAAGTAGGGGCTAATGGTCGGTAGTGCCGAAGCTGTGGAGGAGGAAGGTGCCATCTGCTACTATCTTAAGTCTTAGGGATTGAGGGACGGGTTTGGATTTGGGAAGAATGGGAATCTTTAGGTCTTAGTCTCTTAGTCTTAGGGATTGAATTTGAGAGACGGTATATATGATATGGTAATGATGGTTTTTTTATTTAATCAAATTTTTGAAAAAATAGACCGAATCGAACTCAAAAATCAAAATAATTTCGATTTGATTTTTTTTTATTTGAAAAAAAAACCACACTAAAATTGATATTTCAATTCAATTCGATTTAATATTTCGATTTTAACCGAAAAAAGAGAAGAAAATAACAAATGCATATAAGTAAAGGGGCAACTTGAGAAACCCACCTAAAGTAATGTACCATTTTTTTATTAAAAAAAATGGTGCAAAGAAAGAGTAATGCACTGCTGCTAATATTTGGATATCGTTTATAATTAAGAAAAAAGAAACGAAAAGTACAATTGAATAACGGCCGGAGAGTGGAACATTTCTCTTGGTGTATGCGTACGAGAGAGAAGAGAGAGAGAGAGATTGGTTTATTCCATTCCATTCTATTCCTTAAGCAAGACAAAGAAACGAATAGTTGGTTATTAAGTAGGTAGATAGGTTGTCCTAGCTTGTCAAGCTGCTAGTTACTATATTGGCCTGCCTATAGGCATAGAGGACGATGATCAAGTAATGGAGAGAAAAAGGACCATTGGGATGGAGTACACGTGCTGCTCTCGCTCGATCCCTTTACCTCTTTTTATCTTTGCTTCCATGCATGGATTTCTCCACCTGAATATAGATATTGACTTTTTAGTTGTGAAGAGAGAGAGAAAAGAACAAAGAGAAGAAAGAGTCTCTCTCTCTCTCTATCTCTCTGCCTCATTTCACTTTTAGTTTTTCTTTCTTTGGCTTTGCTCATTGCCATCGTTAGCAACAAAGGCAATAGCCCCACACTTCCTCGAATTTCATCTTTTCTCTTCTTATTGTAATCTTAACTGTCCAACAAGCTAGCTAAGCTCCTAAACAATATTCTCTTCTCTATTATCTTTAATCTCTTTGTGCATCTCTAGCAGGTCTTGTTCTTCCTCTAGAATTCTATGTAGGAATGGGTTCTTGTCCGATCAAATTCTGAAGGCAAGAAAAGCCATCATCTGACACAATTTAGTACCGATCTCAAGATTTGAAGTTGCACCTTGTTTTTGTGATCTGGGTCTTTCCCACTGTTTGATTAGTACCATTTGGTGCAATCGGAGGGTTTTGTTTCTAGTTGTTTGACTTCTTTCTTTGATCTGCTAGATTCTGTGATTAAAATCCATGGAAAAATACCAAGAATTCAGACATGTATGTAAGTTCTGCAGCAAGAGCTTCCATTGTGGAAGATCCTTGGGTGGTCACATGAGGTCTCACATGATTAATGACATTTCAGCTCAGACTGATGGTACAAAGATCACCAAGAAAAAGCTTCCACCTCTCAACAACAGTAAAAGTGGAGCTAAGAATAATAACATTAGCAATGAAACTGCAACTGCTGGTTATGTCCTGAGAGAGAAACCAAAGAAAACATGGAGACTAGCAGATCATTCAAGTACTGAGAATACTTCAGTCCCTCACAAGTCTTGCAGAGAGTGTAGCAAAGTGTTCCAATCTTGGAAAGCTTTGTTTGGTCATATGAAGTGTCATTCACTAGAGAAAGAACGAGTGTCTAACGATAATAGCTTGAAGGAGCAGCAAGACTCTTGGACTAGTGCTAATAACCAGAAGCTGATAATGGATAGCCAATCTGATAATGAAACTCCTGCTCCTAATCGAAGAAAGAGATCGAAAAGGAGAATAAGGTACATGGCTACTGCAAATTCTTCTTCTTTGTCTTTTGCTAACAACGCTTCCTCTTCTGTTTCTGAGATTGAGCAAGAACAAGAAGAGGTTGCTATGTGTTTGATGATGCTTTCTAGAGATGCTAGTCAGTGGGGTGGGGTGAATTCTGTTGCCGAGTCCTCTGATAATAATTCTGTGTTTCTAGAAACTAATGGGGCTAGTTCTAAGACTGAAGGCAAGACTTCTGTTTGTAATGGTAGTGAGACTGTGAAATTGAAGACATCCGGTGAGAAGAAATTAGAGATTGACAAATTGGAGTGCGATGAGGATTTCAAATTTTCTGCCTCTGGGAATTCAAGACAGGGGCTTCTGAAGAATGATAGGGTTAAAAAGTCTCAATTGGATGATCAATGTGGAGTTGAAATAGTAAAGGATTTGACCAAGGAAACTGAATTGGCTCCCAATAAGTGCAATTCAAGAAAGAGAAAGCTATGTGATTCTTTTGATCCTGAATTGAGGTCGGATTCCATGAAGAAACTGGCAAGCAATGCTTTGGATTCTAGAGCTTGCAAGAATTATGAGAGAAGTAGCAGCAAATTTGAGTGTACTACTTGCAACAAGGTTTTCCACTCTTACCAAGCTCTAGGTGGCCATAGAGCTAGCCATAAAAGGATGAAAGGCTGTTTGGCCTCCAGAATTGACAGCAGCGAAAACAGTGTTAAAACTGAGATCTCTCCTGACGCAACAGCAGATAGTAAGCTCATCATGAAATCCATCAACGATGAGACTCCCATTGATCACTTGGGCGCCACAGATTGCGACAGCAAGGTTGGGACAAGTTACGAGGCAAGAAAGAGTAGAGGACATGAGTGTCCGATTTGTCTCAAAGTGTTTCCATCCGGACAAGCATTAGGTGGCCACAAGAGGTCTCATTTCGTGGGAGGCACTGAGGCTAAAAATAACCAGAGCATCGCAATTCAAGAACCAATCCCAGCAATCAGAGATTTTCTTGATCTGAATCTCCCTGCTGATCCTGTTGAAGAAGAAAGCAATGGACTTGTGGGATTGAATCCATGGTGGATTGGAAGCAGTAATGAGCTCGAAGGGCTTGTTGGTTTGATTTCTAACTGATTTCTCTAGTCCACTTGGTCGTGGTTTACAATAACTATTCCTGAGTGTACAGAGATTCATTCATTCTTTACAGATTCAAGAATTAGCCAAGGAATTTACTCCTGATAGTCTCCTACTTTACATTTGATCTCACAAATGAAGGCTAACTTCTTGTTGTTACCTCAATTCGTACATGTCTTTCAATTTGTTTTTGGTCATTGGATAAGTCTCAATTAGTGTAAAACTCGGGCAAATTATTAATCTCTTATGGTTGAGAATTTCCAAGCCAATATTGTAATTGAATATTATAATCACCTCACATTTTGCCATCCCATTTGAACTATACTTGTTTCCTCTCACTGGAAAGCTGTCTTTTTTTTTTTTAGGTGATTATTTTTTCTTAGCATCAAAGAGAAATGAGTGAGGTGTTGGAAAATTGGATTGACGTGGGGTCATGAGGAGATGTACCCAAGGATAACATGTGAACTCAAAGGTGGTTGTTTAGTCACCTACCATGTAACATGACAACCCATCCTACTTCTTCTATTTAAATCAAATCTTACTTTTGGTGTTGCTTTGTGCTTATTCAATGACAACTCCAAGTAGAAATTGAGATCATTACAAGCGGACCCCTTCTAGTAGTTGCATCGGTTTGGCTTTAATTTAGCAAAGATGAAAACTAGTATACAATCTTGAAGATACCATATCTCATAATTAGTGTCCTAATCCAACAGAGAATATTGAGAGAACTTAAGCCAACCACTAAACCTGGACAGGATTTACTAAGCTTTCCAAGTTGATGGGATGGCTTCTATCAGGTAGCACAAATTCCCATGTGGACTTGCCACCCCCTAAAATCCATCTAAGCACAAAAAGGCATTTAGTCGAGAAAATTGAGCATCTTAGCAGAAAGGGTCATGGTGGCAATGCGTTAATACGTGACAATTGGCTCAGACATTAGAGAGAAGTCCATTTCTTAACTAGTTTTGTTAGATGAGAGTATGGTGAACTACTTGTTTCATTAGCCGATAGGGTGGCAGCTGGTCCTTACATGTCTCGAGGATTAGAGCAAAAGGTTAGCTACTTAAACCCCAAGGCATTGTCCCTGCTAGAGAATTGTTTTTTATTTTTTATTTTTTATTTTTTAAAATACACAGATCGATTTAGTTTCAGTTGACTCTCAAGTTGGTTAGAGTGCATCCGTACCTTCAAATAAAAAATAAAAGCTACTCAAGGTATGTTTAGTAATGCAATGCAGGACGTTTTTGCATAAGTAATTTTCTCAAAAAGCATCAACTTCATACCACAACCACCTTAAAACACTAATGTGGGTATATCAAAATCATCGAAACATGCACTTTATGTGGGTATATGAAAATCATCGAAAAGTCTTTAAAAATGTACTAATTTAATGCATTTTCAAAAAACATTTTGAAAAACACCCAAACCACAATCTAAACGGTGCTTTAATTGCCAAAAATAAAAATTAAAAAAACACACACACACACTTCTGTATCCATAATATCAGATACATCATATACCAACCCGATTCAATATGTATTGAATATATAGAAACACAACAAAAAATATTAAAAAAATAAAATCAAACTTGGATACGTAGAGATATAAATAGGAAGCGTGGAAGATATACAACCACGATACTTTTTAAAGTTAAATTTGTAATTTATTAAAATATTGGTTGGCGTATAATTATAAGATTTTATAAGTTAAAACGTAAAATACTTAAACATTCGAGTAAATATAACTGTAATTCAATATGTTTTTAATTTTCATTTTTAATTATGTCAATTAATACAATAACGTAAATAACCATATTTTTAAATGAGAAATATTTTGAATAAAAATAAAAAATATTACAATTCATTCTCTTTTTTTTTTTCTATTTTATTACAAGAGTATGATAATTAAATTAACAAATTATCTTATTTTTTCAAAGGAAGATATATAAAATTTAAATTTGAAAGAGAAAAAAAATTAACATCATGATAATCATAGAGATAATTTGATTTTTAGAAATCCAAAAATATTTAGCTGTTAAGTAAATACAAATAAGATGATGTTTATCTTTTTTCTGTCATAACTTCACTATATTATTAATAGTTATGTTGATTTTTAAACCTAATATTTTTTTATATATAATATATAAAATTGGCTTTTATTTTATGTACGGTATCCTAATTTTATAAGAAGGGTAAATTAATTTAAAACCTTGTAGTTTGATTACAAGAACACTCTACACTCTCATGTTCTAAAAATTACACTTTACACCTTTTTTTTCTTTTACAATGAATTTTTAGTATGATGAATTATAAAATAACAACAAAACCCTCATATATATAATTAGACCCTACAAACCAGCTAAGTATAACCTATCTCATTCCTAAATTGCTTTTTCTCTCTCCTATTCTTCTTCTCTCTCTCTCTCTCTCTCTCTCTCTCTCTCTCTCGAAGAGAGAGAAATGTAAAAAACACTTAAATTTACAACCAAATCTTTTGAAATCAAAGAGCTTTCTTGCATTTTCTTGGTGATTAAACATTTGTAGTAGCTTATGGTCAAATTGAAAACGAATTAAGGATGATTCGAAGTTGAAACACGGTATGTAAAATGTAATATATTTTTAAATTTTTTCAAATACAAATGTATTTAATTCATAAAATATTAAGATTAACATTAAGTTTATCAAATCTAGAGTAAAACTCAAAAGATTTTAGGTGTTTTGAAGGTTTTATCATCTATAATTGAAAATTCAAAAAAAAAATAATAATTTTTTATATGTTTTTTTTTTCCTTTGAAGCAGCTTGTTTATCTTTTAATTGGTTGTTTTGGAGCAAAACACATTAACAAATTTGGAAGGTTTTAAGGTTTTTTAAGTGGTTAATTAGAACTCCAAAAAAAAAAAAAAAGACATTCATTTTTTAATGTTGATTTCTTTTCAGTTGAATTTGACTTTAATTGTGTGAATTATTTTTGAATGTGTGAAGGCAATAGAAAAATAGGCTTGAGCACTATACAGTGCAGGGCAAGCTAAAGGGATGACATTTTGGGAACCAAAACTTAACATATTCAAGGACGTAAGATGGGGGAAATGGTAAGAAACACCAGGGGAGGATCCTTATTTTATTATTATTACTTTTTTAAACAAATCGGTCTGGCATCCTGACCAATTTTATGAATTGAAAAAAAAACAATATACAAGGAGGGGACAAACTAGTCTTATCCCATAAAGGGCGAATCCATTGATGACAAGGAAATATGCAACGTTATTTGTGAGAGGCTTTCAAGGGGATTATTATGAAGGAGGAAAGATCAATGGACAACTTCAAGCTTCATCTTGTTGTGAGCATTTTATTGTTTATGACCTGGATAACAAGAAAGGAACAAATAGTTATGTTTTTATGCTCATGTAAGTCTCTCGCATGCCTAATGACCTTTCCCAAATTTATTGTTTCAGTTGCTTTCCTTTTAATTTCTTCCTTTTCAGGGTCAAATTCAAAGATTTTTTCTTGCTAAAAGTGAGCTTTATCAACTTGTTCAATGTATATTTGATAAAAAAAAAAAACAATTAGATTAGTTGATAATTTTATATGCATGTTTATTGGGTTATGTAATCTGTTCATTTTTTTATGAGCTTTATTTGGATTCTTGAACCATTTTTTTGTTGATTGATGGTGTTAGAGGACTAGATTTCATTGTTGGAGGATAGTGTTGACACTATTGTGGACTTCTAGTAGTGTTTTGTTTTGAGATATTAAGTGCTCTGTTTTGAAATGATTGAAATATTTAGTGTTTTGAATTGAATTTTTTAGTATTTTGATATGATTTTAAATGTTCGAATTGAATAATAAGTGTTTAACCACTAAATTTACGTGTTTTGAATTGGATTTTGGGTGTTTTGATATGAATAATAAGTTGTTTTGACATGTTTAAAACCATATATAGAGCAAAAGTATCATTAACTAATGGTCACATTTCCTATCCGAAATGACTCTTTTCCTTTTTTAGACAAAAATGCTTTCAAATAGTATTCTAAGCATTAAAAATATATAGTGGCAAATTTATAATGATTTAGATTTTTTTTTATCCAAAAATTCTAGATTGATAACATAATTATAATAAAGGGTGTTTCGAAATAAAAATTAAAACAATTAGGTGTACAATGTAATTTTTGAAAAATGAGAGTGTAGAGGTGTTCTCACCATCAAATTATAAGGTGTTTAAAGTAATTTACCCTTATAAGAATTGTTGTATTGTTGTATTTGTATCATACAAGTATCCTTGTTCATGCTTCATATGGAAGAACTAATTAGTTGCAAGATTTGCATTCACATTGATATATATATATATATATATATATATGCAAACCAATCTTAGAATGACATATGTAAAGATTTAGGCTCACATCTATCTCTTTGTTTAGAAATAATCTTGGAAGATCGGTAGCTACCCCAAAGGCATTTACACTATCCGGATGGCTCCCATATGAAAGGTTAGAACTACTTCAAGGCTTTTAACTAAAGGCCAAAACTTTGTGCCTAACTCCACATCCTATGTAATGCATGTGGTCCAATATGGAGCCGAGAGTGCTACAACATTGTCTCACTTCGAGGAAGCAAGACAATGCATGGTGTCTTATATCCTAGATCTCTAAGATAATACATAACGGAATTCTCATTCGGTTTAAAGTTCAAGACTTCCTAATATTTGATATTTAAGGCTAACAAAGTTTTTTGCACAATTGCATAACTTAAACCATTTATAAATATCATATACCATTTCATTTCCATTCTTGGATTAAAACCATCATGAGCATAAATCAAACCTAAATCCATTTAATAAATCTTAACACACCCATAATTAAATTAACTTAGCAACATATCCAAAAATTGACTTAAAAATTTCATTATCCTTTAATCTCATCACTATATATATATATATATGTGTGTGTGTGTGTGTGTGTGTGTGTGTGTGTGTGTGTGTGTGTGTGTGTGTGTGTGTGTTG